TTGTGTCTACTTTGGGGCTGAAGCCAGGGTGGAAATGTCCTGGCTTCTGAGGGTGCCAGAGGACAGACAGCAAGACTTTCGATACTCACAAGACAGCCCTTGCTGAGGAGACAGCAAGCGACAGACAAGGTCTGAGAGCTCCTGGGCAGGAAGGGGTCTGGGGAAGAGCTCATGGCTGTTTTGTGGCAATAGAAGGTTGGCAGGGAAAGAGTGAGCTTAGAGTCATGTGGGGAGGGGAAGCCCAGGAACACTTGCTTCTCTTGTAAGTGGACAGATGTGTGTGTGTCCACAGCTATAGTACACACTCAAAGCTTGTGCCAAAGTAGAAGTCAACATGAGAGGACAGAAAACATGCTTGGCAAGGTCAGGAGGCTGAGGCCCAGCTCCGCCATTAGCCAGGTAGGGTTCCAAGCAAATCACTTCTCTGTCTGCACTGGGTGCAACAGAGGGGGCTGATGTGATGAGCTCAGCAGCCTTCAGGGTCTAATCTAGCAGAACCAATAGGGACACAACACTGCTAAGGCAAGGAACTGAACAGAGGGACCCAAAGAGAACCACAGACCATTCAGAGTGGCTCTGTTCATCACAGCCAAAAGAGGGAAGGCCCATGTGTTTATCATTAGAATGTAGTGAGGTATTATTCAGCTTTAAAAAGGAAGGAAAGCCTCCAGGTGGTGGCGGCGGTGCATGCCTTTAATCCCAGCACTTGGGAGGCAGAAGCAAGCAGGTCTCTGTGAGTTCAAGGCCAGCCTGGTCTATAGAGCAAGTTCTAGGACAGCCTCCAAAACAATACAGAGAAACCCTGTCTAAAAAAAAAAAAAAAAAAAACCCCGTCTCAAAAAACAAAAAAAAAAAAAAAAAAAAAAAAAAGGTATCTATGGGGGGGATAAACTTCTGGAAATGGGTGGTGAGGATGGCTGTAGAGCCTATATATTTAAACATAGTTCTAATAGCAGATTGTGTGTGTGTTTGTGTATGTGTGTATGTGTGTGTGCACACGCGCGCACACATGCACAGGCATGTGTATGTCTGAACAGAAAACCTCAAACACACAACTCCAAGACTCTACCGAATGTTCAGGGCTTCCTGATTCATGAAATAGGAGAACTGGAATGGAGTGAGACACACGGGTACAAGCCAGGGTAAGGAAGGAGCCAAAGGCAGAGACATGAAGGGAAGCCAGACAACCAGGAGGAAGCACCAAAGAGAAGCCTGCAGTTGAGGGGTAGACAGACTGTGTAGAGGAGACATTCCCAGTCCTGACTGTGGAATGTGAGAAGAGGGTCTCAAGCCCTTGTGGGAAAGAATCAGAGCCAGCTTGCTCCAAAGCCCAGGGTTGCACAGCCTTGGGATGAACAGACTTCTGTTTCCATCCTTCAGGTTCTGGGAGGACACTGATAGTGTGGCTCCTTGAAGTAAAAGAAGAAGCAGGTTTGTAAGATAGCAAGAAGCCGGTGGGCCTCCTTGGAGTGGGACCTCAGAGGGCTCCTCCTGAGTCTGCCTGCATACATGACCACAGCCCCTGGGAGCAGAGCACAGGAAGATGGGGGCCAGGAGTGAGATGGAATCTGACAATCCAGCCTGTGCCTTCTCCTTGGGAGTTCAACTCCCATTCCAAGAGGCACCAGAATTGGCTGTCACACTGAAGAAAATTCTCCCGCCCAACAGATTATGCGGTGTGTGTGGTGGTCACTGGGTGTTTGAGCCAGTGCCGGCTGCCAGTAGCTCAATATATCAGTCAGTTTCACCAGCACTGTGACCAAGTCCCTGAGAAGCCAACTCAAGGGAGGAAGCATTTATTTGGAGATTTTTAGCTTGCTGTCCTTGGTTCTTTTGGTTGTGGGGCTGTGCTGAGACCAAATCTCAGGGTGGCAGGAATATGTGGAGGATAAAGCTGTTTGTCACATGGCAGACAGGTAGCAAAGAGCAAGGCAGACTGGTGAGAACTTTCAAAGACATACCTCCAGTGGCCTGCTTCTGCCAAGTAGCTCTCACCTCCAAAACTGTTGTCACTAGTTGGTGACCAAGCATTCAACACATAAGCCCGTGGAAGACACTCTGTATTCAAACCATAACACTAACCCTTATTTTCACCTGCAACAGCAGCTACCATGAGAGTGTTTGTAAGAAGAGTGTGTCCAAGGGCTGTCCAGCAGTAATGTCCATTGTATCATCACTATTGTGATGACCTCCACCACCCCACCCAGCCCATACACACACACACACACACACACACACACACACACACACACACTCACTCACTCACACCAAAATAATTTCACTACCATCACCATTCATGCTGTCATGCTTTTGGTTCTCTTAGTCTGGAACAAGAGAAAGCAGAATCCAGAGCACTTTGAGACTGGCTGGGTGTGGCGTAACTGAAGACATCTACCCACAGGTTTGGCACATCTCTATATGGTAGCCAGCAGGGAAGGAGGACCTTGGGGCACTGGTTGCCCAGGAAAAGCCTTGTCCCTCCCAGGTTTGCAAGCCTCCCCGAAAGAGACTGGCCCCAGAAAGGTTCAATGTTATGCCCATGCCTAAATTTCGCAGCCTTTGATTAAGGTTCTATATTTATGGAGTCATCCTTTTAAAATCCATATTCAGCTGGTACATTTTAAGTCCTTTTTTAATGGGAGACCTTATGCTATCGGATGTGCTAGTCTGGGCGTCTAGTATCTATTCTCAGGGAAAGCCTAGGTGGGCAATGCCATATTATAAATGCCTAAATTCTAAATGTTTCATGTCAACTTGGCATGAGCTAGAGTCATCAGAGAGGAGGGAGCCTCAACTGAGAAGATGCCTCCATAAGATGGAGCTGTAGGCATTTTTTTTTTTTAATTAGTGATTAAGAGGAGCCCAGCCCATTGTGGGTGGTACCATCCCTGAGTTAGTGGTCCTGAGTTCTATAAGAAAGCAGACTGAGCAAGTCATGGTGAGCAAGCTAGTAAGCAGCACCCCGCCATGGCCTCTGCATCAGCTCCAGCCTCCAGGTTCCTGCCCCAATTGACTGTTCCTGTGCAGACTTCCGTTGATGGTGTGAAGTAGACTGTGAAGTAGAACCGTAAGTCAAATAAACCTTTTCTTCCCCAACTTGCTTTGGTCACAGGGTTTCATCATAGCTATAGAAACTCTAACTAAGACACTAAGTCAGGCCTGGTTTCACTGATCTCAACTTCCAAAGTAATGTCACAGTCATGGTGCTAAGAAATGTTATCACAAACTCTAAAAGGCACTCTGGAAAATACTTTTCCCCCCTCAGAATCAAATGTTCAAAGTTACTTAGAAAAAACATTAAAGGGACTTACATGGCAACAAAAAGAAATAACAGTGGCTGAGCCACAACTTGTACCAAGCAGTGTTCTTCTCTGTATGTATTATGCAATATGTCTCTGACTATATACTCTATATACTGCTATATACTCTAGCAGGAAACAATTGAAACTGAAATTTAAAACGTTTATCATAACACCAATGCAGAGTAAGTATAAATCTCACAAAATGTACATAAAAAACCTATGTATTCAAAAGAACAAAACAATTGAGAGATCAAGGAAGACCTAAAGAAGTGGAGAGAGACTGTGTTCACAGGTTAAAAAGGCTCTGCATTGTCAGCTAAGACATCAGCTCTCAGGACTGAGGACATGGTTCAGGGCTAGGTCACTTGCCTAGCAAGTGTTAAGGCCCCAGGTTCAGCACAAAACACTACAAAAATTCATTCAGATTGTACACAAATTCAACACTATCCCTAACAAAATCAGAACTTCAACTGAGTCTATAATTCATATATTCATTCTCATGGCTTTAACTACTAAGTTTATCATAAAGCTATAGCTGTTAAGGCAGTGGTAATTTGTCCTAAATCACACATCCAGATCAAAGACAGATCACACGGGGAATTGGTTCTCACTACTGGGACAAAGTCAGCTGGGAATTGAAAGGAAGAATCTGCAACAAGGAACTCTGGGAGGTTTGTTCCACCCCCATACCACACGCAACGTGTACAGAATAGAACAAAACGCAAATGAAAAACCCAAACAAACTTCCAGGAGAAACCATGAGAAATACTGTCATGACCTTGGGTTAAGCAAAGATTTCTTAGACAAAATACCAAAAGGACACCCTGTGAAAGAACGAATAAACTAGACGTCATCAAAACAAAAAACGTCTAGTCTTTGAAAGGAACTGTCGGGAGCATGGAAAACAAGACACAGACTGAGAAAAATATTTATCTGAAAAGAAACTTTAAGTCAGCAGCTTCCAAGCCTCCTCCTAGACCAGTGTCCTGTGATTAATGGGCTTCTTTCAGGAAAGACACTTGGGCAATAGGAAATCATGGCCACTGGGCATCTAGAGCAGTGGTCTCCAGCTTCAGCAACCCCTGCAGGTTGTGCTAAAAACAAGCCATTGCCCTCCACCCTTGAGTTTCACAATGAGAAAGGGCCTGGGAATTATCCACATTTTTAGGAAGCTCCTTGACCACCACACTTTGAAAAACACTCATTTTGACTAGAGTAGATGTCCAATCCCAGACGCAAGATCTCCCAACAAAGGGACACCTCCTAAGTAAACTCTGATTGATAAGAGATAAATTTTCAGGTGTTGTGAGCGCCTCTTATTCTTGGGAGTTCTTCCTGGGTTTTCCTTAGTAAATCTAAAAAAAAAAAAGGATGATTTCTGTTTTCCCACTTTTATTAGCTTGAAACTTCTGTGCCTGCTCATCAGAACTTCTGCTCAAAGAAGCAATTCCCAGCACAGAGTTTCTGAGCTGGCAGGATTCTTCTGCCCGACCTCTTCACTGTCTACTTCTGTTGCTAAGGCCTTTAAGCACTCTACCAGGACCTGATCTCTATCTAGAATTCCCCCTGGAAGCTGCATACTGCCTTATAGCAACCATCCCATAATAACATCAAGCAGGAAACCACTAAAGCTTATCAAATTCCCCGATCCTCCCCATGTAATAACCCACCCCATGCAAGGCTGTCATTGTGTCTCACCATCCAAAATGGCCCACTGATTGTCAATCTCCGTATGCTTCAGGTACGAGTCTTCAATGGTGGGGTCATAGTCAGGCACAAAGATCTTCTGGAAAAACTGGATGGTGAGGGCGCTCTTGCCCACACCTCCATCTCCCACCACTACTAGTTTATACGTGGGGAGGTTGTCACTGGGAACAGCGCTGGTTGCCATGCTGCTGGTAGTCACACCTAGGGAAGAAAGACACACGGAATGAGGGAGGGGTCTTTTCCTTTTGAACTAGGGGAAAATATCCATGGGCTTTCTTTTCTGAATTTGAGAGAAATATTCATGGGTTTGGTTCTTATAAAAAAAAAAAAAAAAAAAAAAAAAAAAAAAAAAAAAAAACAACTCCCAAAGGTAGATTAGAAAGTGAAACAAGGCAAAACAATTTGAGTGTGTTACACAGGGTCCCACCACCCAGAGACAATTGCTGATGATCTGTTCACCATTACTCACTGAACAACAACTACATGCCGGGGCTGGTCTGATTCACACTGTACCACTCACTGGTCTTTAGTGAGTACAGCTAAAAGCTGTGTCAAGGGAGTTCCTCTACAAGGAGCCTCTACCCCAGAGCTACACACGTAAGCAAGAGGGCTCTGGGCTCTGCAGGGATAGAAGACACAGAGTTACCTTTCACATCACCTCTTGTCAACCAGAACATCTCTTATGGATTGGAATGCTCTGTTGAGAAAGATCTGAGGCTGCTGAGCCCAGAGGACAAAGGGGCTGTGCAAACTTAGCACGCCTGTGCTCTGGGAGGCCCCTTCCAGCTCAAATCTGCTATCCTTCCCTTCCATCTTCTTGTACTGTATCATGTTGAAGTCATGCTGGTATTAAAGGGACTCTCACCCATCCATTTAAGCTGGGCCAAAGAGAAGGAAAGAGCGGGTGTTGTAGTGGTTCTCAGCCAGGGGCAGTTCTCACCCCTACCAGGATATCTGCAATGTCAGGATGTTTCTGGGGACAGAGGTCAGGGATATCACTTAACATTCTAGGAAGCACAGCCCAACCCTCTCCTGCAAAGATCTGTGGTACTGAGACGCTCCCAGCTAAGGACAGAGCTGGAAATGTGGGTCTAGGGTTCTGAAGAATGAAGGCCTTCACAGGCCAAGACTGATTGTGACGAGGTGACAGAGAAGAGTGACCTTGGGAAATGCTGTCACAGAGGGCCCAGAAAGAGAGGCAAGCAGGGGTCATTGAGGGAACACAGTGGGAGTGCTATCAGTCTCCAGCAGGCTGGCAGCAGAAGTCACACGCTGGTGAGGGAAGAACAATTTGTCAGAGCCAGAGGTGGTGTCTGACTTCAAGGAATGAATTTCCCAGACACAACAGAACAGTTGCACACATGAACTCACAGCAACATACACAAGAGCTGCACAAGCTTAGGCCAGGCAAAACCCCACTGTGAAGGCAGGGGGAGGCAAGGGGAGGCAGGAGGAGGCAGGGGGAGGCAGGGGGAGGCAGGGGGAGGCAGGCACCAAATCCACCACTAGTGAGGAACCATTGGCATTTGACAGCTGCAAGGAGGAGAGTCAGCTTTCTGGTTAATTAACCACATACTGGGGCAGACCCCATGCCCAAGAGTAGTTGGGTAACATGAACTGGACGAGACAGGAGACACTCAAAGTTGGGTGGGTAGGGAAGTAAGGGTAGAGAGGGTAAATGTGAGAGGAGCTGGAGGAGGGGGCAAATATGATCAAAACGCAGGACATAAAAAATATTTTGAAAAGAACAATTAGGAGCACTGACGGGGACAAAAGCTGCCCACTGAAGATCCTGCCAGAGAAAAGCAAGCCTTCCTCCCCGCAGGCCATTCCCAAGAGGCAGAAACACCAATCCTAACCACTTGGGGAGTAGAAGCTTGCTCCTGTCTCTGTAAAGATGAAAAGAAAACACTCCAGTGCTGCTTTGGGGAAGAAGAGGCTCTGGGCGCAGCTAG